TTCTCGAAGTGGGGTTAATGTCTTTAGGCCTGTAAGGCTGCCAATTCGGAATTCCACTGATCTCAATCTCTTCACGATTCATCAAATTCATCATTTGCTGACGCTTTGACCCGACATTCGGGGGAGGAAGCAAAATCAGCACGTGCACATGACCCTTTTCAACGGCCGCTTCTTCTTCGGTCACTACGCCCAGTTCACGACTAGCCAGCCCAACGGCTCGAAGCTTCGCGTCCACGAACTGTAGAGGCGTGCAGCCATTAGTGTCCCTCACGCCTTCCAGCGCGTCAAGTTGTGTTAGCCACGCGCCGTCCGCCGTCTTCTGCAGGAAGAGCTGCAGTTTGCCTGCATCAATCTCTTTGAGGTCGTTGGCCTTCTCGCTTTCTTCAAGTCATCCACGGTTTTGCCTTCGTCTACTTCCACGGAGAACGCACTTCCCGCCACACCAAAAATGGCGCAAAAGAGCTTCACCATCTTTACTCGGGCGGATTCTGGAATGAGGAAGAGCTTCTAGGGCCAGGAATTTTGTTCTTCTAAGGAGAAGGGAATTCCTGGTGTACTTAAGCGGAAATGAAATAGACTTTCAACATTTAAAAACAGTTTTTTTAAAACACGTACTGGTATTTTAATTCTTGTTAGAAATCTGTTTTAAATAAAATATTGGCTGATTGCAAGTGCTCTAGCGAAATCAAGGCGCCATTTATTCAAAATTCCCTACCAGAAAAAACTAAAGGTGTGCATGGACAAGTAACTTTACATCAGTGCAACGTTTTTTTCAAGTCCTTAAAAGGCCCTAGAAAATTAAATTCGGATGATTTACCTAGAATGACTTCCAGTACTATTATAAAGTAGCAACGTGTGGCCACTTTCACCGTCTACGCCTGAGGACTAGTTACTACTCATTTCTACTCAATAACAGCTTGATCAGCCCGAAAATGCTTCCAAGTCCACCAAAAAATCCAATGAGGAGAATAATCACTCCTTCGGTCAGAAAGAGATTGTGCTTTTGACCCCTCGACAAATGCTTTTTGACCTGTCGGACAGTTTTCAGCGAGGGGGATGTCTGCACCGATTTGACGAAGCTGGGGTATTTGCTTAGACTCTTGACTTTTTTCATCAGCTCCGGGTTTTCCTTGATACTTTTGATCCCTTTCTGAATAGCGGGGTTGTTTACCAGACGTTCCGCCTGCTTTATAAAGGTGGGATTCTCCCTTAAGTTCGGCAATTTCTTCGGGTTCCTCGTGAGCAAACTCTTCAATTTGCCGAGATTAAGAATCGCCCTCTCTTCATCTTCTTGGTGGGGGTTTCGGCCATCAGCCTAAACAGCGATTGGCTGGATCGGCGAAGCCTTCGTGGCTTTCAGGAGACTTGAATCCGACACACCCGTATCAGAACGTTCGGCGCGATTAAAGCCAAAGTAAGCGAAGAAGCTGAGTAGAGTCAGAAACAAGGACGAGCGTACGCCCATATTGGTTGTTGACGTTAGTAGTTCGTATTGTGCAGTGAGCACAGCAGTGATTGAAATTCCGCTTTGTTTAGTGCCGCGGACAAAGCATGAAAACACGGGAACACTTAAAAAGCAGTTTTTACAGATGAAAGTCGTTACGTCGACCAGTTTTCAAACCAACAACGAAGTCGCGATCTAAGCGAGGAACCTCGTTAATTTAAGCTGGTTAGCAGACTACAAATAACATAGCAGACTTCAAATATCATAACGCTAGTTCAAATTTGTAATAAGCTAGCACTTATTAAGAAAACCATATCTCAATGTAAAAATTAAAGTAAATTACACTAGTAAATCGATGTATTGTGCCTTTCTGCCAAAATGCCCTCTGGTTAACCCAATTAACGCGGGGGGGGAGGTATTCTGTTAGACAGAACAAGGGAATTACTTGGTTAAACTATGGTTGGAAGATCGCAACAATTTATCTGTTTCAAGCCCTTGACGTAATAGACGTTGCGAACAGACGCAAAAATGCTGTGCATGTGAACAAAGTATCTACAATTTATCCACCACGTGGAAAATCTTACGCTCGCAATTGGGCAAGTTTGCATATAAGGCGATTCGCAACCCTCTCTGTGTTTATTTCCTGCTCAAAGTGATCTCCAAATGCGTCGCGGCGTCGCCGTGGTTTTAGTGGTGGTGAGCACGAGGTGATAAAGCGCGCTCACCAACTTTTCGACCAGTTCTAGGCTTAGCAGGAAGTAGTCGGATGAAACTGGTCGAAATTTGTTCTAGACTTAGCAGGAAATAGTAGGATGAAACTGGTCGGAATTTAGTGAGCGCAAGATGAGAGGAAGAAGTCGGCGTGTGTCGAACTTCATTCTTATAACACCACACCAGGTTTGCTATTAGCAGATGCTACTCGTTATCGCTGTCTTCCTCACTTAGTCCCTCCAGCTTTCGCTTCCGTAGGCGAATTCACCCCCGCAGATGTGCCGGAATAGCAGACCCACTACACAACGATTCGTGCCATATTTGGCTGCATGTCAATGTATTTCCCGTTTCCGAGAGCCGAACCGTGCTACACAAAGTCTTAAATCCTTCAAGAGCCTCCGAGCATTCTCGACAATAGAACCTGCTCTCGAAGCTTTTTACCTTGGGTGGGCTCAGCGCCGAACATACCTGGCAGAGATGCTGTCGGCTTTTGATCTTCTCTTTGCTCTTGCCGGATTTAGCCTTGAATAGTTCATCAGTGCTGCGCAGCTCGTGATCAAGATTTTCGGTCGGCACACTCGCCAGATCTTCTGCATGTCGGTTGGTACGGAAGCTTACAGCTGTAACGGCAAGTAACTCCACGAGAAGCTGCCGCATGTACTCCGCGTGCAAGGGCGCACGCTTACCTTTCCGCTTCATTACCATCTGGTGAAGAATGAACCATTGACGAGTGCCACATCTATAAAGGCGAGAAATAGTTGGCGGTATAATTTCTTGAATGCCACCCAGCGCTGTATCGAATACCGCTTAAGGCGGATCTGGTCGTGGGTGTCCACGCCACCCATTCTAGAATTGTAGTCTGCGATAAGTTGCGGGCACGGAACCTGTGTGACAGCTCCTGCCTTCTTGTCCTTCCTCGTCACGTGGTGGAGTACGCCGTGGCGATCCGATGCACAGGACTGGAGTCCATCCAGGCAGTGGCAACAGGTGCTGGGAACTGTCTACATTGCGCGATCCTGTACGTCCCCCTCGGCATGTACTGCGGCCCTTTCTTCTGTGGGATCGTGAGATCTGACGGCCACTCAAGTCTGTCCAAACGCTGAGTACCGACGTAGTAGAAACCCAAAGTCAGCAGCGCGAGTGCCAACGCAGGCGAGCTGCAGAAGTTATCCGCTACAATCAATCTCTGCCTCGCATATCCGTCTAACGTTTTTGTGATATTGCGGTTGACGGCTCTCTGTGACGAGCCTTTCTTTTTCTTGTCGTTCTGTAGCCACATGAGTGGCCCACCACCTTGTTCCGTAGCCACAGGAGAAAAACACCGTCGGCCCCTTGTGCTGCAGCCGTATGAGTAGCACCGCCAGATTGACCACCTAAATGTGAATGTTCGTCGCGTTCTGGTGCTGCCGTCCGTATTAGCCTCTGCGCTGCTGTTTACGCCGCTTGTTTCCCCATTGGCGGCCGTCTAACGGGTACTGGAAGCTCGTAGACGGCTGAACCGGAACGACATGCGTATTGTCATAGACTTTTCGTCCATTTAATTACGCACATTTAGTACACACATTTATCAATAGAATATACCAATCGTCGTACCACAAAAATAGTCCGAATTGACGCGATCCTTGCGAAGCTTGCCCTTCACACCAGCCTTTACGCACGTGAGCCCGATGTTCAGCCCCGTCGGCGGCCTTGCCTTCCAGCTGGCCTTTACGAGCTGATTCCACAGCTTTTTGAACTATTTCGTATCCACACCGTCTAGCACATCCATCGTTTTATAAAAGAGTGGCAGTTGGGTGGGGGGATAAAATGGTTGGGAGCTGAGTTTTCATACCTCTTCACCGCTTATACTGTATTTTCTATGGATGCCTGAAAATAATCATCTATCTCACCAGCTCTAATCCTCAGTGATACCCCCCCACCCAAAGCCATACAAAACTGTATATGCGAGGAATTTACGTCATTTGTCCCGCGTATAAGCTCTCGGAATAATGACACCTGTAATATCACTTAATCTGTCGAATACTTAAGAACCCTAAGTAGCTGTCATTGAACATACCCTTGGGCCAGTAAAGCTTATGCATTAACATAAAATGGGAAGCGCTTCAAAGTGCATAGCCTTTAGTGAGAGCACAACGCTTTCTTCTAACCTATCAATTGCCGTTTTACAGGATGAACTTAAAGGAGCTAAATAGCCTAAGATTAATTTTTATTTTGACGTTTGATGCGGTTAGAGCCAGGGCGAGCTCTGCATACCTGTATTAAGGGCTCTATCTCGAAGTGGTTTAAGCACCCTAAGCTATTTTGCAAAAAAATCCCGTTAGACGCCCTAAGCATTTTCGTCAGTTTTTAAAAGTTTCAATGATTGCACGTAAAATATTACATTTCCGTGATATTTTTAATTACCTAGCAGTACAGTCCGCGCACGATGCTGCCAGACGATCGCCAAACTGAAGTATTTGTCGCCGAGAATCGCTACGCTGTCTTGCACTTCGCTGGGGATAAATTCAATGTAGACGGGTACGTGCGTTTATCTACGGCTTGACCCTGTTTGATCATGACTTGCATTTCTCCGTAGACGAGATTTCGAGGGATGTTAATTCTTCAAGTGACGACCCAGACGACCACCGCGACGAAGGAGTTTTAAGCGTGAGCGATTCAAACGAGGAGTTGCAGTAAAATCTTGAGGAGATTGGTGAAAACAAGCGGTTGCTAGACATTTTTGTACGTTTGTTGACAATTAAATTTAATGGCAAGCGCAGAATCGAAGCCAAAGTCCTCTCATCGACAAGGTTTGTACTGCTGCTACTCTGATCTCAGCTAATAAAACAACTGTGTATTATTTAGCGTAATATTGTAGGCGCTACAAAATTAATCTGACCGGAGACACAAGCTCTCAAGAGGAAGACGTTTTGGTGTCGGTGAACAGCATAATCTGAAAAAACACACACACACAAGTCCGGACCGAAGTGCTGTATGACTTGCTGCGCCAAAACATGTACTGTTCAGGGTACGTTGATGTGCTGTATTGGACAGATCTAAGGTGACCAGGTTTCTGGATTTTGTACGATACAGAATACTACTGATGTCACTCGATTTTGTGTTCTGTATACTAAAGAGCTGAGGTTTACCTCGGGGCTGAGAAAGATTAAACTATAGCAAAGGGGGCGGCACAGAGAGCAGCTATCCGAAACGTGACAAAGGTTTTTACTCGGCAGCCGGAAAGCGTCTCGTCATCGCAGACAACTTTTATAGCTCATGTGCTCTCGCTCTCGCACTTATTGCAATGGGCTTTTAGCTGGGATGGCCAACCGCACTGCAGTTCAAGCAAAACTCACGACCGAAAAGAATGGCTCGAGGAATCCATACCGTATCGCACATGCAAGACGCTATCCAGATCTAGTAGCTCTAGATTGGATAGATTTGACACCTGTACACATGACTTCAATTGATTGCTCCACAAACCAAACTTTCGTCACAACGAAAGACAAACGCACAGGCGCCATGATACAAGTACCGTGTCCACAGCTGGTTGTTGACTACCATGCTGGTAAGGGGTGAGTAGTCTCACACGATCAGCGCATACTTCAAAGACATTCTATTCAGCGGTGTGTTGTATTAAAAAATAATTACCACCAACTATTTCTTGCGTTCGCGGATATGGCCGTGGTGAATGGGATTTTACTACACAAGTTAGTGATGAAAAAAAAAACAAGGTGAGCGGGTCCCCACACGTGCTGAATACATGCGACAACTTCAGGTGGAGCTGCTTGGGGTATCCAGCGATACTTTCCAGACAAACATACACGCTGAAGATTTGGCATGTGTCCCGATGCGTACAAGTGAGCACGTGTGGCAAAACACAACAGATCTATACAAGGCAAAATCTGGAAGGCAAGCCGGAAAGTCAAGACGTCGTCAATTTCTCTGCAAAGTTTGCTCTGCTTTCAGCCCTCCTCTAACAGAGTTACATGGTGTGGAACACACAGGGGAACGGAGTACCCGGAGAGCTAACAAATTCTAAGAACATGAAATGGATAGTTAATATACTCTCAGTACATAAGCTGGAGAGTTAACAAGGTCTCTCAGTACGCTGGCTAAAAGCCACACGTTATGCATTTTAATAACGAGGAAATCATCGTTGCTTCGGAAACCGTCGAATGTGTACGGAAGTGCAATCTCGCGGCGTGATTTCCCATCGGCCAAATTGACAGCGACCTCCCCTCTACCTTTGCGGACAGTGATGTCCGACGGAAGTACCGACAAGCATGACGCGCAGAAGAAATTGTTGGTCGCTCCTGAAACATGGAGCGCTCGCAGTGGTCGCTGGGTACCGGCGACATGAAGACTGGCAATGATCAATCTTGAATCGCTAGGCGTGGTGGTGGCATGAAAGTGTGCATGTAGCGCAGTGTTCGGGGTCACGTACACAGACCCCGCACTAAACGCGAGCGGATACACTGGTTACATGGTTGCCATGGGTCAGGGAGCATTCGAACGTGTATACGTCAAGGGCGCTGATCTTGTGAAGGGCCAGTACGGAGCCTACTTGGTGTACCACGAAAGCAATCAGAACTTGTTTGGTTACAACGTCGTCACTAACACTACAGGGTCTCACTCTTCGGTTATTTTCACGGCATTGATGGACCAATCAGTGAATCGCTTCTTCGCAGCACCCAACTCTACAGACTTGGCTTCGAACGTGAACCTGAAGGTGAACAACTACCCGTTGCCGTACACGGCAGCAGCGAAATCGGCCTTCAGCTCCAACACATGGTTTGTCGCAGCTCTCTTCATCATTTGATTAGGTTTAACTATACTAGATAGTTAAACAGATACATTTACCCCTAGGCGGCTTTGCCGCAATAATAGCAAGGAAAACACTTCTGGTTTTGAAGCATAAAAATTGTGGTATTAGCTTTGAGCGCTGGCCTTGGACGGTAAGAGTCCTTTGGATAAGGAACTTAGTATTTGTGACTCTTGGAGTCGAACGTCTTCCTCCGACGTTAAAGCTACGGCAGCCCCGCTGCACTTGATGGCACTTGTAGTCAATCCCGCTCCTGAGTCGGTTGACTATATCCTCTGCGAGGATGGAGCACCCCGTGTTCGCGAATTTGCCCCCGGCGCAGCAGGACGCGCTTACTAAGCTTATGTCCTTGCTTGGCCAGGAGGGCGTGGCTCATCTTGCGTCGCAAGGTCCAGAGGCGGTCACTGCCAGGCTGGAATCGTTCTCCCGCTACGAGAACGCGCTCTTGGAGCATGTCCAAGAGAAGATGAGCGCCGCAACGGCGGCGGCGTCGATGACGCGTGAAGAGTCTATGAGACTGAAACCGCTCATGGTGAGCGTAAAAACCTTCGAGGGGAAGGATGGAGAGAATCTCCTTCTCTGGACCCGTGAGGTCGAGATGGCCATGGGATCGGCCCTGCTCCAGTCTGAGCATCAGCGCGTGGCGCTGGCTATCTCCAGGCTTGGAGGTCGCGCTCGCGAATGGGCACTAACGTGCGGCACGTCTGTTGACGCTGCATTTCCCACTTGGGATCAGCTGAAGCAACAGCTTCCGCGCGTGTTCGCGCCGCCTAATCAGACGTACCGTATCCAAGAGTTGAGAGCTCTTATCGCCGGAATGGCGGCGGGCCCTCTTCCGGAACTGGCCAGCGTGACCTTGTTCATAAAGGGACTTCGTGTGAGCACAGCTCGAATGTAAGTGCTTCGTGTACACCCTAACGCTTTCGAAGAGGCGGTGAATGTGGCATTAAATGCCGAGCACAACTACAGGTCGGCTCAACCTGGTTGAAGCGCTGGTAGCGCAAGCTCTTCGAGCGGTCCAGAGCCGATGAACTGCAGCTATGCTGAAGACAAAGAAGCGGAGTTTCTTGCTGCGAAACAACGCGCCAGCATCCGCCGATGCTGTGTGTGCAATAGCACTAAGCACTTGAGGGTATATTGCCCTTTGCGCAGGAAGTACGAGGCTCCGGCGAGTCAACCCTCCGGGTCATCGTCGGGAAATGGCATCTCCCAGTAGGGACGGCATACTGGGGAAGAACCGCGTTCTGTGGTGCCCCGAAGGGGTAGAGGACAACGGGGCTCAGCCTCGAAGAGAGCTGAGCTCTCTTACCAGACGCGTGTGGGCAAGCCGGGCTTGCTGGTTGTTCAAGCGAACGTGAAGGGCTTCGCAAAGCCATGGAGAGTCTTGATTGACTGGGGAGCCTCGGAAAACTACGCCTGTCGCTCCACCCTGGAAGGGAGTCAGCTGTATGCTGAGGCACTGGAAGTACCAACGAGAGATATCATCTCTGTTCGTCTCGCGACGGGGACACTGGTAACTGTATCGAAGGTCTCTGTCGACCTGGGATCGAAAGTTTGAGAGCTTCGATAGCGTAGAACGCTGTTTGGTCTTAGACCTGGATGCGAGGTATGACCTCATCCTTGGTATGGCATGGCGGGAACGCTTTGAGCCATGGATCGACCGGAAATCAAAAACGCTTGGTGCGTCGCACCCTGCATCTAGTGGAGCTTTGGTGAGTGATGAGCCCACCGCTTATAAGAGGCAGGCGTAGTGCTGGACATTGGTATGTCAAAACTTGTTAGCAACGAGGTTGCTGTTTGTCCTGAGGGCGTACGTGGTGCGGCACGTTATCTGCCGAGCGGTGCAGGTCAGGTCAATGACCAACTGCTGGGTCCTGGTGAGGACGAACTCGGAGTGGCGCGTAATCCACTGAGTGGTACGAATCTGGTCGATGACCTACCGCTGCGTGGCTCGATGGTCGCGGTCAACTGCGAGTCGAGGCATCCTGGGCGTGACCCAGGAGATGCAGGTGAAGTGAGACCTAGTTCACTGTGTGACGGTCACGGACCTCTTTTCTTTCAGCCGAGTGTCTTGCGAGACACTGCATCCTCTTCGGGGAGTGATGGAGCTGCTGCACCCGGTGGCGGTGATGGAGATGTCGCCACACCGCCCTTATCCGGCCGGGCTCGGTCGCGGAGGGAGCGGAGAATGAGACCCAGGGCGTATATGACGTCTTCGACGTCGGACGAGGTGTCCAACGGGATGAGCTGTGAGGCTCCACGTAATTGCTGTGAACAGCTGTG